AAGTTCACGAACTAGTTAGTTAAATGAACTATTTGCTCCAGGCTGCCCTTTTTTAATTTTACTTATATTAATTTATTTACACATACTAATGTATGAAATTATGATATTTTTTATTAGCTAATATTAAATACCCAATACAATAATATATACATACATATGTACATATGTCTAATTTCTAATCTGCATTTAAAATCAAATGAGCCGAGTGGAAGAAAGTCCGAAAGGCCCCAGCAAAAAAAAACGAGTTATCAAAATCAACGGTAATTTGTAGCCACCTCCAACGTGCACATTATTATACTAAAATTAAATGAGTTTCCTACAATTTCCAGTGAAAAGTTGAAATTTTTGATGAACATTTTTTATGTGCTTTTTTTATGTTTCAGCTGTATGTAATCAAATCTTGCAATCAATTTTTACCCAACTTCCTGATGTGCTACAGACTTGAAACTTCAAACTAGAGATGGGCACGGGACTAAATATTTAATCCCGATCCCGCCCATCCCGAAATTCGATTTTTAAGTCCCGAACCCGCCCTTCCCGACGTTTTTCAGAATTGTACCGCGGGTCCCATGGGTCCCGATATATATCTATAAAGCAGGCTACAAACGGACAACAAATTGAAACGATTGCTGAGATTTCCCCGTCCCGCCCGCCATATTTTTACAGATCTTCCCGAAACCACCCATCCCGGCCAATTTTAAATCAGTACCGAGGGTCCCGCGGGTGCCGCTATCCCGCGCCCATCTCTACTTCAAACTTTGTTCAGAACCCCATGGCAATGCAACATGAAAGATGAACTAATCCCCTAGCTGGTGCAGGTGTCGAGATATATGAAAACCCCATATATATATATTAGAGTGGTTCAAACCTTTTTTTTTGGAAATTCATAAACGCTACCTCAATTTATTGTTATTTGTGATAAAAAAAAGAGAAACGAGATCGGGGTTTAAACTGAGTTTAACCCTTAGCTGTGCACTGAAAAACTGGCCCTAAGCGACTTTTCATAAAAAATATGCTAATTTTTTTTCATTTGAACAGGCTCCGTAACGGGGACTTCCATGTTTGTATAGTTTTAAAAAGTTCCTATGATTTTTTTGGTCGTGCTATACCGTGTGTTTAAATAACTTATTATGTACATTAGACTGCGCCGCCAAAATGAGTTT